CAGCGCGCGCTCCCCGCCTCCGCCGCCTCGCAGCCCCCGGCGCCGCAGCCGCGTCCCGTCATCGCCCCTCAGGCCAACATGGCGGCAGCCTGTGCGCGAGCCGGGAGCACGGTTGGGGGAGAGGTCGCCCCCCTCGAAGCCGTGGTCGGCCCCGCGCTCCCACCCACCTCCGTAGCGCGTCACTACGGAGACCACCCCGGAGCATCACGGGAACTGTAGTCTTCGCGCCCGACTCCGAAGCCACGCCCCTCCTAGCAACAGTTGCTAGGAAAGGAAAGCTCGCTTTGGCCAAACGGCCACAGTTAAGTGGGATGCGGCGAATTATCTGGGGAAAATAATGGTGCGCAGAGAAATTCCCTTATGCGCGATATACACGCAGAGTTAAAACACGCTTCGCTTCCAAGCAGAATCCTTCATTTTGGTGACCGCGCGCTCTCCGCATCCTGCAATCTCAAAGCAGTTTGCATGGTGATTTCGTCTACGTCTCCGCTACATTACATTTGGAAGATCAGAAGCGATCATTGATTTCCGATAAGGTCGTACAAGTTCAACAGGAACACGGATCTTATTAGGCAGGGAGAGTGTTTGAACACGCGTTTCCTGAAGGCCCTGGGCCACAAAGCTGCATTCTAGTTAATCGAAATTTCCAAAAACTGTGTTAGATACAATAGTGTTTCATGCCAAATCTACATCAGGAAATAGCTACTACAAACTCCTCCGTGATTTACCAGTTTACCAGGCCAGCCATTAAATTCTATTTAACTCAAAAATGTAATTGAAAACCTCTATACCTGCAGTGATTAGCAAATGGCACAAAATAACACCATTAGTGGCAGACAGATGAAGTCTGTGTACCCCAGATTTAGGAACAAAATGCAGAAAACACAAATCTCTATCTGAATCCCTATTCATAGCTCTCTCAGTTCTTTGGCAGAGTATTTTAAGAATGGCAGTCTCAATAACACACCTGTATAAAATGCCAGGGGATTTAGTCTGAAAGCCACCTCTTCAAACTACAGCTATGTGACTTCATGTATAAGACAGTCTTGCCTACCTTCCAGGGGTAAAGTAGGATGAGTTCATGCATAGGAAATGGATCGCTTTGTAAACAATAATGCAGCACTTGGTGTGAAATGTTGCTACTCATTCATTCAGCAAACAACTGTGCCAGGCACTAAGTAGCATCAGCAGCTTAAAAATGAATAATCCAGGCACTGTCCACCGGGTACTCGCTCTCTGGGAGCCTGTCATTGCCCACATCAGTCTGTCCACTCAGGGTTGTCTCATCAAGATGGAAACTCATACTACATGGAGAATGCCTGCTTCCTGAGTGGCCTGTTGGATTCCAAGCCCTCCTAGGAACCATGTCATCCTGCGGTGAGTTAGGGTGCTAACCGGGAGATGGAAGACAGATCGGATCCCCAGAGAAACCAATGAACAGAGGGGAAAAGGCCCAAATCTCACCACTAAGAAGCCTCAGGACTTTGTCTAGACGCTTCTGAGTCCATAGCTACATGATTTGCCATGGCCTTGGTACGTGGTTGCTCATTCTTCATGTTTAGCCACCAGGTATCCCCCTCCCCAGTCCAATGAGCTCACAAGAATATTGGAACACATTTTGAAGGTTCTCACTCACAAAGTCAGTCCCTCATCCTGACTGTCATCCAACGACTTTCCTAGCTGAGGTGCTACAGGGCTCACATGCTGTTGTAGGTAGGAAGGCAAAAAGCGTAAGATGGCGGGACTCATGGAAGAGTCAACTCACACCTCTCCTGCTGGAAGGGTGTAACGACCACCATAGCCAACCTGTGACCTTGGCTTTCTGACTCATGACCTTGCTGTTGGCCGCATGTTACCCCTACCTACAAAAGACTCCATATTTCAAAGGTAAAGTCACTGTACCTAGCTGTGTTTCCGATCGCTCTTCTAAGACGAGCTGAGATGTTATTGTCAACCAAACTCCTTGTAACGCTTAGTCACAGAGTTAAGAACAATTACAGAACACAGATGCCGAAGCTCTTCTCCCCTCTCTTGACTCTCTGCTTCCAGACTGAGTCAGGTGACATGGGAGGCAGGACAAAGAGGCCAGTTATCCACAGTGGAGGAAGGTAGCATCTTCTTGATCCCAGTAATCTATCGTCAGCATCAATTTGAAGGAAGCGAGCGACACAGCGTTTTTGTATCAGGAAAAATAACTTCATGGGAAATCAAAGGGCCTGGCTCTGTCACGAATCAGCTGTGCGACCTTTGCCAAGAACACTGTCTCGCCAAGCCTCCATTCCCTTATCTAAGGCGGTTGAACTGAGTCTCCACGGTCTTTGAGTGTCTAGTCCCAGAAGACTAGCATGTGACACCCACGGCCTGTTAAAAATATCTCCCCCCGAGTGACTGCTCATGTATAAGGGGGTTTTTTTTTTGAGGGGGAAGGGTGACGAAAGTGTCCTAAAATTAGATTATGGCAGTGGTTGCACAACTCTGTAAATATACTAAAAACCATTGAATTGTACACATTAAAGAGGGGAATTTATTCTTTTACTTTAAAAATTATGGTAAAATACACGTAATATACAATTTACCATCTTAAACGTTTTTAGGTGCACGATTCAATGGCATGGTCAAGAAAGAAGCACGTGAGTCCAGACCGAGACTAGAGGCCAAGGGGTGCAGGGCAGGGAGGTGGCTGGAGCGCCGAGGGCTGCGTGGGAGCAGGGCAGGGGTAGGATAAGGGAAGGCAGGGGAGAAAAACTGGAAGCCATTCACCAAAGGCTTTGCAATTTTGGTTAAGCGGTTTGCACTGAGTCTGACAACGAATGGGAGCCACCGAAAGATTTTAAACTGGGGAATGTCACGATAAGATTTGTTTTTATAGAAAGGTGGAAAAAGTCCTCTGAACTCCAAAAGTATCTTCTGTCTGCATCAGAGGGGTTAGTTGGCCAATGTGTGACTTCTTGGACTCAGATTCTTTAAAAATTCTTTAGAGGTCTTGGAGATGATTGAACCCCAGCTCTTCATTTTACAGATCAGGAAGCTAACAGTTTACGAGGCTTGTGCCACTCCTTCCCTTCCCTAGCAACAAAGTATGACAGAAACTAGAGGAGGACTTTTACTGCATAATATATACGCAATCCAGTATGTATTTTTTTCTTTTATTTCTAAAGGAAAGAACTCCAAAAGTATACAAATAGTATACAAATACCAATAGTATACAAATTCTGGAAACTAGGAAAACTATTTTTGTTTTTTGTATATGTTCTTCCAGGTTTTCTATGCACATGATTACACATATTCGTGGCATACCTGCATTTTTCTTTTAACTATTAAACCAAAATTCATTTTTTAAACATTAAAAATGCGCATATTTACCAAAGGCTACTTAATCTTCTAGTCTTCGTTTTTCAAGGCTGCATACTATTCCACTGCAGCAATGTCCTACGATTCATGCTATCATTTTCATTTGAATGACGTGAAGATTGTTTTCAATCGTACACTCTTGGCACATGTAAATCTTTCTGTACTTTGAATTCCTTGTTTAGGCCAGAGTCCAGAAACTGTTGTCACTCAGCCAGTCTGTGAGCATCCCCGTGGCCCTTGATCTGCATGGGCAAGTTATATTCCAAAAGGGCTTCTCTGCTTAGAATGCTCCCTCTGAATAAGAGTACCAACTTAACCACCCCATCCCCAGCCCTTATATATATCTATAGCTGTATCTATGTGTTTCTAATATATACACATATGCTTGATCCAGCAGCAGTGCACATCCCATGATCTCAAATCTTTTCTCTTCCAAGTAACGATATCATCCAAGTAAAAACAAGTGTTTGCTATGCAAACACAACTTCAACAACTCACCCACACCCATATCCAACATACATATGCACACTCACTCCAACCAGATAGGAAACCCCTCACGCGTAGAAATTTTAAAACTCTTAACTGCCTGTGTAGACTCATTTTTTAGGTTTCAAAAACTCTGCATTTTGCATTTTGATGATTTCTACCAGATTCAGTCTTTTTCTGTGCATAAGAAATACACATTTTTCAAGAGTTGGGAGTTTGTGCTAGACTCACTGTTGTGACCTCGGAGTTTTAAGTGTCTTCGCATCCCCAAGAGCTTAACATAGTAAATAAATAACACCCAAGAAACCTTGTCAATCAAGTGCATTGAAATGATGATCCTTTTAGATTCTCTCTCCAGATCTGTGATTCTGTAAAATCAGGGATTACCTCTTACCGTTATCTTCAGACCTACAGGTGTGTCTCATGAGCACAGAAATGATACCCTAGGCTTAGCTCAGTTGCTCTTCCATGATCAGAGAATATGCCAACAGGAAAGAAGACAATTTCTTGTGTGAAGACTGGAGATCACCTTTGAAAAAACAGGAGTTATATGTTTTAATGGCAACACGATTTCAGCAATTTTTTGCAA